ATTGGAGGGAGCATAAGGGGATGACAGACGAGGCAATTAAGGAGATTAGTGTGTCTGTGAGGAGAGCCTCTGGAAAACCAGAATGAGAGGCTAAAACACTCATAAGAGGGAGTTCATGAAACATTTCAAAGGAAAGAAAAAAAGAAACTCATGATACTCATATGATGTAACCCTCCATTCCACACACACAGAAGGGGCCAACTGCGGTACTCCGAAGTCTATTTCATTTCTATAACTTATTTCCACAGGTGGTTTGTCTTGATGGTGAGGAAATGATCTGGTTCTTAGTTTGTATGTTGCCTACTTTTCTGGTCTTATTTATAAGGTAAAGAGAGAAAATATTTTTTGATCCTATTTATAGAGCATTGAGAGAAATTTTTGAATGGATGTACAATTTTACCTTCTCATTTATTATTGTGTTGACTTTGTTTTTATGAGATATCACTCTGTTCCTTATTATAGGCCACTTGTACTGTAATATCCTAAATTAATTTTTAGGATTTATGTAAAAATATATAATAATATTTTATTATAATATTTAAAAAAATTCAAAAAAAATATTTTATTATTATAATAAAATAATAATATTTTAATATATTAAAAAAAAAAAGTCACAACTTTCCACCGAATTCGGTGGAAAGCTGAAACGTTGAAAAGGGAAGGAAGAAAATGGGGGGAGAGGAATTTAATGAGGGAAGAAAAAAAATGAAAAGTAGTTGGGGAAATGAAGAATAAGAGAGGAAGAGAGAGCTAAAGTGTGTGAGAGAGAGGAGCATACCGGTGAACCAGAGGGCAAGCTTTGAAGATATTTTAGGTACATAAAATTATTTCTTTTTATCAAACTTTCTTTATAAATATTTCCTATATATTTTAAGCTTCCTATTTACATTATTATTGTAGTTATTAGAGAAAATTTTAAGACTTATATATGATCTACGTATTGAGTTTTGACAAAAGATGACTATAGAAATTTAGAAGTGAATGAGTTGTTAATTTTAATCGGTTAGATTTGTCCATTTGTTAGTTTTTAGTATTTAAATTAGTTTTTCTAGTTGAAAAATCTGTTATATATGATTTATAGTATATTTTTACCGATTAAATTCAAGTTAAGTAATTTATTTGGGTTGTTTGGCATATTATTAAGATTTTAATCGATTTAGTTTTATTTATTGGGTGACTGGAGGTTTTAAAATAATTATTGTAGCTAAAAAGTTTATTATTTGTGGAAATATATATGTGTGGTAGTTATACCATTAAAGTTTTTGATCAGATTATTTATTTATAAATACTTGAAGTATTATTGAATTTTTGATAGTTTGATTTTGAGGTTTAAATTAAAATGAAATTTTTTTGAATTTAGAACATAATAATTTTATATTTAGAAATTGTGGAAAATCCTTTTTATTAAGGTAAATAATTTGGAGGTGGTAAATAAATAATTTGGGTTGTTAGAAATTTTAAGTTGTTTCTAAAATACTTAATAATTTTTGGGTTATGAGAGTTGCGGGAATTTAGAATAAAAATTTAATTAAATTAGAAATTTAACTAATATAAAGAAGTGTAATTAATTAATTAGTTTATATTAATATGTGTTTATATTAATTGTGTAGATTAATTATTGGTTGAGCGAAGGATTGACTTTGTGGTAATCTTTAGTATTGTTTTGGCGAGAGGTAACCACTTTCCACTTGTTATATGTGCTAATATGTTGTTTATGAGTATTTTGCTATTTTGGTATAATGATTTGTTATTTGAAACTCAGTAGATAAATTATATCTTTTGAGCTATGAAAATTATCTTGTGGGATTTTTGGAATTGTGATTGAGAAATTTGGAAAAGATATATGATTTATATCTTATGGATTATACTGGAAAAAGATTGAGACATTTTTGTTATATTGTGAATGGTTAGTTGTTATTTGGATTTTGGATTGAGCGCTATCCTACCACGTGGTAAGGTCGCCATTGGTGCACATTGGTTGGCTTCTTCCTTCGTCCCTAGAGTAAGGGATAGACCCTTGTGGCTTTTTATTCGTCCCCCAAAGTGTGGGATAGGCCTATAATAAGGGATGAACCTTTGTGAATACTTAATCGTCCCCCAAAGTGTGGGATAGGCCTATAGGTCGGTTTGATCCCTTATAGTGAGGGATAGACTTATGTGGCTTGTGTGTTAGCCCTCTTAATGAGAGTTTGGATGATTGAGATTATTTGAGTATACATATGTGTATTTTCATTGGTATATAGATATTGAGGTTTAATAATTATACCACTTGACACCTCACGAGCACATGTTAGTATGTATGATGAGTTGGAAAGTTGGTTACTGAGGTGTTTGTCTCACCCCGTGGTTTAACATTTTCAGGCGATAGTTCAGGTGGTGGCCCATCAGAGAAGGCTCCGGAGGCATAGTGTGCTGTTATAGCTTGTATAGCCTCCCTGCTTTTATTCTATGTGCCGACTTGTTATATATTGCCACATAGGGCTCATCTACTATCATGATGTAAAAGAATACTTTTAATTACTACTATCTGGTATGATAGGGCCGCGATGAGGCTCGAGACATCTTAGACTCTGCATGTAACGCTCCTTTGAAAGTGTTAACTTTTGACTAATGAGCTCTATAGTTTATATTAAACTGATTTATCAGTTCGTACGTTTGAAAATTTAAGATTGGTTTGGGCTAATGGTTGAATGATATTTCTAGGACTTTGAAAGTCCAAGGCCCAAGTGAACGATTGATGTGGCTCGTAATATAAGTTTATTTCTTTTAACCATGATAGCGATTTTAAAATTTTAAGGTTTCTTCTTTTCTATCATGGTTAATCATTAGAATAAATTGAAAATTTTGATCTAAATGGGTTTTAAAGGAACCGTTGTCACATGTACCCTAAAAGTTTGTTTCAAAATATAAGTCACTTGTAGAATAATTAATAAGCTTTTTCTAATTTTACCCCTATTAATTTAATAAAAAAATTAATTAATCTCTCTCTCAACTTTTTATTTCCTATGCAATCCATCCCCTCCCCCCCTCTCTCTCTCAACTTTTAATAAGAGTAAATGTGGGGAAAAAAACTAGTTAATTTAATATATTTTTTGGTTTGCGAGTTTAGGATACAAGTGACTTATAATAAGAAACAGAATGGTATAGTGTATATTAAATAGAGATAAAATTAAAAAGTTGTTAAATTTTAAATGAGAATTAATAAAATTTAAGTTTTTTCTTAGCTTGTATAAAATATGTTAGAAGTAATTTATAAATAGGAGGAGGAGTAAGTTGAAATATTAATCCAAGCCCTAATTCCCTCCTAGGTTGTTTCACTTTTGTTTTGAAAAAACAAATTCATACTCCTTAGGAGCACAGACAAACACGCACCCGCAAACACATATATTTAATTTTCTTTTTTGTTACAAAAAAAGTTTAGGTGAGTTGAATTCCGGGAACTCACCAAGGCAGTTAGATTCGAACTCACGATCTTGTGGGTTATGAGCCAACTCTTTACCATCTGGACCAACTCTTGTTAGTACATATATTTAATTTTTAAATATTCATTATAATTCAATTCTTACATATCCAATGTAAAATTTCGTCCCACTTCCCCACTTAAATTTGACCCATTAAGATTTTTAGTGCAATTCATAATGTCCTACAACATTAATTCACCATCATGTCGCTAACCTAACTTTCCATTATCTTTGGGGTTACTTTTTCCTGCTTTTCTTATCAATTTGATTAATTTGCTCCTGTTTTTCAAAGCTCTCATGGATGAGTATATGATTAGATATGACTTTTAGCATTTTCTAAATAAGTCTTCTTTGAAAGTTGGTGCATTGGGTTTTCATTGATATTATGGAACCAAATTTGAGTAGCTGATGATTGTGATTAAATAATCTGGATCGTTCAAATTTAATTAGATGACTTGGATTTTAAATTTTTTGAATAATAAATTTATTTTTCAAAATAGTCATAAGATTCTATTATTTTAATATTTTGCATCTATCAAAATAAAATATTATTAAACATACAATAATTAAATTAAAAATTAAATATGAATGATCTAAAATTAATTTAAATGGGCAAATTAATACTCCCTCTCATCCATAATATAGAATGTTAGTTAAGTTTTATAACAAATCAAGAGATGTTAGTTAAGTTATTAAATATGTTTCAAATTAATAAAAGTTATCTATTTTACTCTTATTAAAGGATGTGATACAAAAATTCTCTCATATTTCTTCTGCATTTAAAATTCTCTCTCCTCCTTATGACAAGGGGTAAAAGTAAAAAAATATCATTAATTACATTGTCAACCTCTTATGCTTTGGATCAAAGTTTTTTCCCTAAAAAACTTTTTATATTAGGGAGAATTGCAATTAGGTTTCATCCAAGGGAATTAAATACAAAAAATCCCTTGAAATCATGAAATTATTTTGAAGTCTCAAGGGACTTTTTTGTAATAAATTTTATTTATTTAATTACCAAATTACCTTTCTTTTTTTTTTTAAATTTGTGTTGACAACTGAAAAAGCAGTGGTTGACAATTTAGGGTATAATGATTGACAATTATCGCGGTAGGTTTGACAACACATATTACAAAATGTAACGCATAAGTTGTCAAACTTGTCGCGATAGTTGTCAATCCTTGCACCCTAAGTTGTCGATCACTGCTTTTTCAGTTATCAATACAAACTTAAAAAAAAAAAAGGAAGAAGGGTAATTTGATAATTAAACAAATGAAATTTATTGTAAAAAGGTTTCTTAGAACTTCAGAATAATTTTATGATTTCAAGAGACCTTTTTATATTTAATTCTCTTAGGTGAGACCTAATTGCAATTCTCCCTTTATATTTTGTACAGAAGGAGGAGCGAGTACTAAGTACTATTTTTTTTTACCCTAAACATCTAGGTCCTTTTTGGGGATTTTTCTTCAATTTTCTCGTTAAAAAATAACTATCCAAAAGGATTAAAGTGCAAATTAAACTTTTAAACAAAATAATTCATAATTATAAGTTAACCAAACTTTCTTGTACTTTTACCTTATTGCAATTGAAACGTAATACAGTCACCACAATTTAACGCTTTAGCCAAAAATAAAACAAAGAGTCACAAGATGTGAACTGCTTCTCATATTCATTGTCCAAGCTATAACCATCTTGAACACGACATATTTAAATATTCACATAGGGAATATTTTTTTCTGAAATTATTCCTTAGACATTTATGCAGATACTAATTGATATCGATGACACTTACGACCATAAACCTTAATTTTTTTTTCCTAACTCAACAGGAAGGGAAGGGAACTCCGCAAGAAGAAGCAACCTTCTTGGCGCCAGGAGAGTTAACATACTGCCTCAGACTAGGGTTCTTGAGGTACCCACACAGACATGGCTTCTGCTCCTTCAGCTTCTGGCAGCACTGGCTCGACGGCGGAGAGGAAGACGTTATTGCTCCGATGCAGGGACTCAGAGCAGCCGGACTGCAAGTCACCGCCTCAGCCATGTGTGGCAGCTCCGCCGCGGCAAGGATCACCAGCACCACCGCTATCACCATCAGGCTCACACCCATCTTCTTCATCTTTGCCGTTACCCGGGCAACCTTCCCACCTTTCTGCGTGATTCACACGCACACTACTGTGATTTTAATTTGGTCTTTTTGTGCACTGATCAAGTGGTGAACATAGGAGTCATCTATGGCAGTTTATATAGAAAGCGAGAGCGTGGGGTTTGGTTTAGTGCGGTGGTGTGTTTAATTTTGATAATGGTGATATATACCCAGCTGCATTAAACACAATTTTTTATTAATTTCCCCTAAATTACTTATTTTAATATTGGTTAAATTGTATAAAATGTTCCTCAATTTTATGTTATATTTAAATGACTTCTTTAACCTTTAGGCCATACATGGGTCTTAATTTTGATGGATGGGGAATGGGAATGGGAAATTGGGATAAGGAGTGGGATTGAATTTTAAAATTATATTGGGTATGGAGTAATGTTTGGACAGAATAATTGCATTAATTTTATTTTTAAATTATTATAAGCTGTCAAAAGACTAGAAGAACTTCGTTATTAGAAAAACCCTTGTTATTTGGTGGGAAGGGAGCACATTTTGGCATGAAGAATCCCAATCTCAGGATTAAATTTTGATTACCACCTTCCTCATGGTATTTGCCCAATCCCAAGTAATAAGAACTATCTACCATACTAAATATTCATTTAGTGAATTTTCTCAATTTCAATTGCAATTCCTACCTTGGCCTTAAAACTTTGCAATGAACCTTTCTGAAGTCTTACATTTATGTATATAACTCTTGTGCTATTAGTTTTATTCATTATTTATATGCAAATAGCTTAAAGTTTAAATGGCATGTATGCATATGACTCAAACTTTGAAAGGGTTATGTATATACACAAAAATAATGTTTAAAAAGGTATAAAATTGATGGTTTGGGGTTATCTGCATAGCTTGAAAGGGTAGAGAGTTTTATTATTAGAAGTTTAAAAAATTAAGGAGCTTATCTGTACATAATTCTGAGTTAGGCTAGCTTTAATATTTGAAACTCGTTACGCTGTCTTTCTCTCTGAATACGTACTTTTCTAATCTCCTATTTCACGCACAAAAAAAACAATGTGATTACATTTAATTTTTCTTTTAAGTTGGCATTGACTGATGTCAACGAACTCTATACATTTCAAAACTTGATGTAAGACTTTCTTAAACTTCCATTGTCTTCATAAAAGAACCACTTCTACATTAATTAATGAATGTTGAAGCTGAGATGTCAGTCACTCTTCCATAAACATTTTAGAAGCCACAATGCCATTTATTAATTCAAAGATTTTTTTTTCACTTAAATGTGCCACGTGTCAATAAAACTAGCCTTTCTATAACCTCTCACTCATAAAGCTTGTCAATATCATAAACAATTAACACTACTACAATGAAGACATTTTACTTTTGTTTTGGATGACCTTTTACTTCTTATATTTGTCACTTATTTTCAAAGTACTCATCCACCTATGATCCATTGTGTTAGTACTTAATTCAAGACTAAATTGAACAAGGAATTTTGAACAATTTAAGACTAATTCAACTCAATTTAAGAAAAAAACCCTAAAACAATTCAAAACTAATGATGACAATTTAATACAATTCAGTGAAATTCCAACAAAATCAAACCAATTTAAGACTAAATTCAACAAGCAATTTTGAATAATTTATGACTAAATTCACTAGTTTAATCTAATTCAGCTCAATCTTAATAAAAATAAAACAATTAGCAAATCCAATTCCAACAAATTCAAACCAATTCAACACTAATTTTAGCACTTTAATCTAATCCAACTCAATGCTAACCAAAATAATGCAAATTCAAGACTAATGATAACAATTTTATCCAATTAATTAAGCTCAATTATTTAATCCAACAATTTAAAGCAATCCAACATATAAAAAACTTACCAAAATTTTCAACCTTACAATCCCAACCACAATTTTCAAGCTTACTCATTTTCAAAAAAATTTGCCAAAGCTTCCTTTTGAGATAACACATCCAAAAAAACATCAACTTGCTATTAAATAAACCTTTCAAGATCATAATAGCTATATTACCATTCTAATGCAATACCAACATATGAAAATTCTCTTAGACATTTTGACAAACACCTTGTGTGCATTAATATTCAAACAAGTTTAACAAATTTCTTAATCTTCAAATCTATTACCCAACCAATGTGTACAAGTTTAAAACTTTGTAAATACAATTCAAGATTCAGCAGCAACTTACACAAACCCACGTTCCATTTGCAGCACATATAGAATAACCAAAAGGAGGAAGATTGCTCTTAAACTTACCTTATTCAGTAGAGCTATCAAAGAAGGGAGAGTGTAGATGTGGCGTCAACTTAGAGGGGAGAAGAGACGACGCAGGTGAGTGTGGCTTTAACGGCGACCTTCTTTGTTTAGTGGAGTCGCCGACTTGGAGAGGGAGAATAACAGACTTGGAGGAGATGTCGTCGTCATCGTCTTGCAGAGGAGAGAAACGCTACACTGGAGACGTAGCTCCAGCAACCTTTGTTTTTTGTGGAGATGGGAAGAAGAGGCGACGGACTAAGAGCATTAGTTATGGTCGCCGAGGGAAGCAGTAGAGATGGGAGGAAGAGGCGATGCAGGAATGAAAATGGGAAGGGAGGAAGATATTCGCGGGCTGCGCAGATTAACTAGGGTAATTTAAAAAAAAAAAAATCAGGCCCCTTCTCATTTGTTTTAATAAAACAGATGAGAAGGAGCCTGTTCTCCTATGTTTCATTAGTAATAGACGAGAACTTGTCGTCTGTTACTAAGAATAGACAAGAACTTCTCGTCTATTACTAATAGAACGGATGAGAAGGTCTATGTTCTCAACTGTTTTACACAACAGATGAGAACATGGAGCTTATTCTTGGCTGTTTTACTCAAACAGATAAGAATACTCACTTTTTCTCCTCCGTTTTCGTAAGCAGATATGAATGGGGGAGATACAAAGTATGTTTTCTTGTAATGTAATACCCTGAATCGTATGAAACAAAATGGGTAGCCATTGGTTAATTTTAACATTGCCTATTACTATTTTAGTTCCGTAACATATATGGAAGCTAGTTGGGGCAGAGGACTGCGTGCTAAATATATCATCTTAATATACTTTATCTCTTATATATACTAATTTATCTAATTTGTAAACTGATATATAATCTAAACTATTTTAAGAAAATCAGATCACATTTATTATAATCAACTAATTTATTTTATTTATTTATTCTATATATCCAATTAGAATTTTATTCTCCTGAGTTACTTGGTATGAGTTTTGGTGCTAAACAAATTATATTGATGAGTACTAACACCACCTAGATCTAATTTAGATGGTTTGAATTTAGTTTTTTTCCCACTTTTATTCTTTTAAAAAATTATTTAAATATGTATAGAATTTAAAACAAAATATAATATCTTAATTGTCAGTTTTTCAAAACAAAATATTTGAAAATAAAAATAGATTTATGAACTGTTGAAATTGTTAAATAGTTGATATTTCCCTATAACGATGAGCACTGAAATGAAACCGGTCCTGAGTTAGTTTGAGTCTTGTTGCCACGGATGGATGCATGATGAAGAGGATGCCATGGATGTTGCTCTCTCGCACGCTTCTTCTTCTTCAGTGAAGTGGAGGGTTTGCTTCTGGTATGTGGTGCGATTTATTAGTGCAGAGCAACTTAGGTTTGCGATTAGGGGGAAGAAGGCATAGCAAATTTAATGGGGAAAGAGCTTCCATGTTTGCAGCAGCACTCAACGTAGTGTTATTTTACACCCGGCAGGCCTTGTGGGGGTACATCATTAACTTAACACAACACGTACTCCCTCCTTGTCAACCGTTAGTTATCCCGGCAGCAATGTCATTCGTTATGTTTGTGTGCGCGCTTGATTGTATTATACTCCTCTTATTTATAAATTACTTCTAATATATTTCATACAGATTAAAATTTTTTTTGAAATTTATTAACTTTCATTTAAAATTCAACTTTCCAATTTTATTCTTATTTAATGTATATTATAACTTATGTAAATAAAATCAATACAATGATAAATAAAGGGTAAATTATACATCTGTACAAAAAATTTTTCTCAATGTCTTATAAATATAACAAAAAAAAATCTTCTTTTTCTGCCCTATAAATAGGGGTAGAAGAGTATATTAAAAATAAACCATGTACTCCCTCTTTTTTTTTTTTATTATAAGATTCAAATTTTTGAATTAGTATATTTCTTTTTATAAGATCCACTTTGAGTTGGTATAAACATTGAATGCATTTTCATTCATTTTACTTTTAATTAATATATTCTCTTATCATCTTTTTCCCCCATATATTCTCTCTCGTATTTTTTCTTACATTCACCTATCCACTTATAAATACAGGCATATTACAAAAAAAAATTTCTTATATATTTATTACTTTTAGCTATATATTTTTAACATCTCTTTAAACCACACAATTTTCTAGATATTTATTACTTTTCTAATTTGTCGCAGATTTTTGGTCTGCCAATAAGATAAATTTTGTGGGAGTGGTTTGGTTTTTTTTTTTTTTTTATAAAATATATTTTAGTTTTGTCTAAGTATTTAATGAGTTATTTTCAATGTTACCATCACATATTCTCTTTTCTTTTTGATTCATTTACTACATCTTTTACCTATTCTATTCATTAATAAGAATATATTTGGAAAAAAATTACATACCTTAATATTTATTATTTTAAAAGGATTTTAATTGATTTCTTTATGAATGTAAATTTGTTAAATTTATTGTCTATTTTAAACAGGAGGAAGTATGTTAAAAGTACTACCTCTTATATTACAAACAACTAGATCTTATCCTAGATCTTACAAATTACAAACTACAAAGTAGATATTGTATTTTAGTGCAAATTACATTACGAGCTAGATCTTATATTTAGAACTAAAGGTGGTATATAATATCACAAAACACAATATTGACATTATAACACAGTCTAGGTTTTGTAGTTTTGCACTTTTTTTTTTTTTTAAACTTTCTTAAATACGAGGTTGTGAATTCGGACCATGTATGAAAGATATAACAG